GGGTCTGGGATGTGTTCCAGTCTTGGGCATCATCCAATAATGTGGACTTTCTACATCCTAGCAATACTGAAGTTTTGGAGTTTCTGCAAGAGGGCCTGGACAAGGGCCTTAGCCTCAGCACCTTAAAGGTTCAGTCTTCGGCACTCTCAGCTTTGTGCAACATCTCTTGGGCTTCGGACCCTTTGATTTCCAGGTTCTTCAAAGTGGCCTTCAGGTTGAGGCCTCCTTCCAGGTCTACTACCCCTCCTTGGGACCTTCCTATGGTGCTCAATTATCTCACGGAGGATCTGTTTGTTCCTCTTGAAGGTTTGGATGCTACTCTCCTGACGTATAAAACTTTGTTTCTGGTGGCAATTACTTCCGCAAGACAGATTTCAGAGATTAAGGCATTTTCTACATCTTCTTCTTGTTTACAATTCTACCAAGATAGGGTGTGTCTGAAACCAAAGCCAGAGTTTCTTCCTAAGGTGGTTTCTCAGTTTCACCTCTCTCAAGAAGTGGTTCTTCCATCATTTTACCCCAACCCCTCTTCTCAGGAAGAGGTTAGATGGCAACGTTTGGATGTCATGAACTGCTTGTCTACGTATCTTAAACGTTCTGAGTCTTTCCGTAAGACGGACCAACTCTTCGTTTTGCCGTTGGGAGCTAGGAGAGGTGAGGCGGCCTCTTTGTCTACGTTGAAACGTTGGATTTCTCTTATAATTAAGAAGGCGTATGTCTCTAAAGGTTTATCACCTCCTCAGGTGATAAAAACACATTCTACTAGAGCATTATCAACTTTATGGGCTAGCTGGGCAGAGGTTCCATACGATGATATTTGCAGAGCAGCCACATGGTCTTCTCCGATGACGTTTATGAAGCACTACAAACTTGATGTGGAGTCTCGTTCCACCGCTTTTGGGAAGAGTGTCCTCTCTACGGTCTCTTTATCCAGTTGATATTAAACTTTCTTTGCTGCATGTGTTTCGGCTTTGTGTAATTTTTACGTTATTATTTCCCACCCTAGATTTTGTGAAGCTTGGGTATTACCCATAAGTGATGCTGCCATGATTAGCCAAGAATAGAGAAAATTTATGACAAACTTACCGTAATTTTCTTTTCCTGGCTATTTCTCATGGCAGCATCAGGGTTCCCGCCCATTCTCTATTTCAGCTTTATAATTGGACTGAGGTGTAAGGGGAGGAGGGACTCTTTATACCTATCAGTCTGTTTAATTAATCTAATTAATTCCTGTCCTGTGACTACTAAGGGAGGAGCTACCCATAAGTGATGCAGCCATGAGAAATAGCCAGGAAAAGAAAATTACGGTAAGTTTGTCATAAATTTACTCTATTATGTTTTTATTCATAAATTGTATAATATACATAGCACCTAACGTTTATGTTGATAATTGGCATTGATGTCTCCTGTTTCACATGTAAGACTGAAAATTGGCACATATATATATATATATATATATATATTTATCATTCAAAATGGCTCTCAACCAGATGCATTAGCAGAAGTCACATCATAACAATTACATTCCACCAATGACCGGAAGAGTTACAAAGGATTTTGGCTGAAGATCAGATTTAGGAATCAGAGTTTATTGTAGTTTTTTTATTTTTTTTTCTTCATTATATACACAGCTGGGTTTTGAAAGTTCATTTTCCAGAAAGCTTGCTTTCTGTCAAATTCTTTGCCTCCTGCTACAGAAGCAGTGTGTGTGTGTAGTGAAAGGTGGTAATGTGTATCGGCTGAAATATGTCAATATTATTTTTGGCAGTAATCTGTTTGCTGTTGCTTGCTTCCAAAAGTATTTGCTATATAATGCATTGCTCACCCATACGGCATCACAAATGTTAGAATACACTGGAAGAAAATATATAATGCATTGCTCACTCATATGGCATCCCAAAGGTTAGAATACACTGGGAAATTCAGATAATTGAACTTCTTAGATTACTGTGGCAGGCATAGGGTGAAATTATGGCCATGCTTCTTCTAATAATTGTTATAATTTAATTACACACTCCCTTATCCTCCATGTCTGCAAAACTGATATGCAATATTTTTAAAACTTTCACGTATAATAAGTGTTTTAGGCGTAACTAGAAATCGCTGGGCCCCCAGTGTGGTGCAAATTGCCCTATGCCACCTTGTGTGTCTCATCCTCCCAAGTGTCTCCTTTCCCTCATTCCTCCATATGTTGCATTCCCCCCCCCCCCAGCCTCTCCATGTGTCTCATTCCCTCTCACCCCTCCATTTGTCTTACCCCCAACCTCTCCAAATGTCTAATTTGCCCCCACCACTTCATGTGTCTCATTCCTCACCCCCTCCATATGTCTTGGTTCCTCCACACCCCTCTATGTGTCTCATTCCCTCCCCCCACCCCTCTATGTGTCTCACTTTCCCCTCCCCTCCATGTGTCGCATACCCCCCACCCTCCATGTGCTTGGTTTCCCTCCCACCCCTCCATGTATCTTTCCCCCCACCATGTCCCCACCCCTTTATGTGTCTCATTTCCTTCCCACCCCTCCATGTATCTTTCCCCCACCATGTGTCTCATTTTCACATCACCTCCACGTGTCTCATTCCCCCCCACCCCTCCATGTGCTTGGTTTCCCTCCCACCCCTTCATGTGTCTCATTTCCACCCCCTGCCCATCCTTGTGTTTTATTCCTCCCACCATGTTTCTCTTTCCCCCCTGTCCCTCCATGTGTCTCATTCCCACCCCTCCTTGTGTCTTTTTCTTATTATCCAGGCCCTTCATGTGTCTCCTCCCACCATCCCCCCCCCCCTTTCTGTACCTGTTCACCTGGACTGCGGTACCAGGACTGACTAGATGTGCTCTCTCAGTGATCACTTCCTGTCTGACGCGGTTCGCTTGGCCACACTACACACAGGGGTTGGAGTGCTCCCCTCCTGCCTGTTACCTGGCAACCATGGGCCCGTAGTGCACTGGCCCTGAAGTGGCAGTAGCAGCTGCGGCCTGGCCCCCTGGAGCTGCAACCCATGCGACCATGGGAGTTACGCCATTGCTTCTAGGCATGAAACACATTGGGGGGAAGATTTATCATGGTAAAACAGGTGCATTTGTAATGACAAAGAGCTGAGTTTTGTTTTCCATGGAGATTGTTCCTTATTTAGCATTTTGCCACAGATGAGCACTTGTTTTTGCCCTGATACATTTTCCCATTACTTCATAATGGCAGCACAACTGTTCATTGTGGTTCTGTAATTAATTTAAATTATTATAGTTCTCCAGATTGTTTGTAGCTACCATTCTGCTTGTTAAATGATTTTACAATAGAAGAAGACTGATGTATGGGACATATATATGCTCTTTATTTATGTCTTATTTCATCTTCTTACTTATTCTGAAACGTAAAAAAAATCAGCAGGAGCAGTGAAAAAATAAAATTCATGTCTGTGAAGAAGCCCTCCTAGCAATCACTGAAGCATCTGTTTTCTTTCTGTATTCATGTCTCTCGAAAAAGCTTTCTTCTGGATTATGCTAATCTGGATCCACTAGAGTTTAGGCAGTCAATAAACTCAGTTGGCATATAACTGAATCAATTTTATACGATTATTCTTCATTCAAAAAAAGAAAAACAACGTGGCCGCAGTGATGAAATATTTTGTTGGTGTTTTTTTTTTTGCTGCTGCTCTGAGCTCAGCCAAGTTTATCAACCCTGTATATACTGTATATCTCCATCTGCAGACAAAAATGAGATTCATCAGGAATTCAAAGTGAATTTCAAATTTAAGCCCAAAACAGCTCAACTGGAAAAATTCCCAGAGTTCTCTACGCTTCCAGGTTGGCTACATTGGCCTTAAATTTGAAATTAATTCAGAATTTCTGACAATTCTCATTTTAGTGAATAATCCTGCAAAGACTAGCATTGGTTGCAGAATGATCTTCATGGCAAAGCGCAGTGACTTTCAATGAGGGATTTTAATAGGATGCCACCCTTTCAATTTCTAGCATGCTAGGGCTGTCTCTGTTTACAGTAAGTGCTGCTATCACATTTAGTACGAAGTTCCAAAATACAATCGGATGCAACATCAGCATGTACACTATATCTCAGAGTTACATGAAACGTCTTTCTATATCCAAGTAGCTACATGTATAGGCTGAGATCACCATCAGGTATGCCAGTATAGGTTGGAGTGGAATAAAGACTGCTACCACTGGAGGTGGAACTAGTACAAACCTTCTAAGGGGTGTTAATTCCAGCTTTATCGTTTTGGAGGGGTCTAGTGCAGGATTAGGCAACCTTTGGCACTCTAGATTTTGTGGACTACATCTCCCATGGTGCTTTGCTGCCTGCTGCAAATTGTAAAGTTTGCTGGTGCAGAAATAAATGTTGAGTCCTGTTTTTAGAGTTTAGGCTAGTTCTAGCTCTTTTGTTGAAAGACCCTCTGCACAGCAATATAAAATTACATTTAATAATCTAGATATCTTTTTCAGTGTTATTCACATAACGTAGAATTATAGCATACTGGAATCTGAGTGGAAAAATTAATTCTAAGACCACAAACCTGTCATTATAGTTGTTACTATTTTGGCCATTTTTTTCCTATTCCGATTTCAATTCACTTTAATTGAGAGTTTATTTAATAGCTGGAATACACCAAATGTAGTTAAATAAAATGAAGAATTAAAGCACATAGCAGTAAATAATAAATCCATGTATTCTTACTTTCCAGGTCCCAGATAGGTGGATTCTCTGCCCACTAAAAACAAATGGAACTGCAGTATAAGGTCCCAACAAAAGGGCACTCATCCAGGATCGAAGAGGAAAGTAGAATGAAAGTTTATTTCATATATTTAGAAGTACATGACACACATCACAATAACAAGCAGGTCTGAGTAGAAACGCGTAAGTGTCTCTATTATTGTGCCCTTCCACCCCTTGCTTGCTATGATGCTTGTCATATAATTCTAAACAGATTAAATAAAGATTATATTTTATCTTGTTCAAGTCTCAATGAGTGTCCTTTTCGGACCTGGTGCTGCAGTTCCTTTTAGTGACTAAGTCCTTCCCTTTAGTTATAATCAGAGTTGGAACATACTGCCTGTAGCCACTCATTAACCTGTCGTGGAAGCTTGAAATTTTAATTATGCACTCACTGATCTCTTCGGTACTCATTTGTAATATCCTATTTGCCCCCAGAAGAATTTGGATTATTTGTGGCATTGATTGCACATATTTCTAGAAACATTCTTTATAGACTCTGGTCCATGTTGATGTAATGGTATCACACACTTGCTGCAGATTAACTGTCTGCACATTTATGATCTTTTGGATTGACACTGTAACTGTAGCAGCCACTGGAGTAGATTGAATACAATGTTACCGACACCACCAAAAATCATTGACATAAGGCAATTTCATGTATTCCTTTTGTTTATAGATAATTCTAACCGTATTATGTGTATGTCAGAGCAGAAACTGAGATTCGTTACATTAGGTAACATTTATTTTCCACTTTTCTACAGGTTCACTTGTGCCCTCTGTAGCCTTAGTTTCCTTTTCATAGCTGATATAGGGCTGGAACATTGGATAGTCTTCTTCTGATGTTGTCCATCCACTGCAAGGATTCATATGAGCATTCAGAGATGGTCTTCTGCTTAACACTGTTATTATGCATCATTGTTTCAGCTTCTCTCACCTTCATGTGACATTCAACCAATCTGTCTCCTCTGACCTCTCATTCATTAATGAGGCATTTTCACACAGTACTGGGGCTCAACTGACCTTTTTTGCACAATTGTTTGTAAACGCTATGGACCTTTTCTCTTTTACTAAAACAGTCAAGCTCCAATCTCTTGCTATATTGGGGATTTAAATACCCCTATAAAAAAATTTTTTAAAATAATGTTTGATAAATAAATAAAAATATTGTGTGTTTTAGCTCTAGAAGCGATGTTTTTTTTTTTCACATAATCCTTTAAAATAATATATTTGCGCAGCAAAGAAACACTCTTTATATTGATCTGTTGAAAGGCCAGACAGATTTATTTGTCATTGTATCTGGAAGACATAGATATCAGAACAAAATCAAATGCAAGTTTTGATCTGTAGAGAATACAATTTAAGTCTCTTGGGCTTCAAGTACAAAACCTGTGTGCTGACATTTGAAGCTCACAATGTCCTTGTGCAACATTATTAGGAGGGTGATTCGGTTCATTGCCTTTCATTCCAGTTCCACACCTACAATTTCAGTAGAAACCAGACAGCTCTTTACTTTTAGTCTACAGACTTATTCAATAAAATATATCATATGCCTGGAGAAATACTTTACCGCTTATCTTTGTTTACTCTGTCACCCCAAATTACTCAATAAATCTTAAAACCCTTAATAATAACTGTACAAAATCATGGCGATTTTCTCCAGCAATGCATCTTGCACTACTAAATAAGCAACCGGAGGAAAGGTGCCCTTCTTAAATAATTCTGCATTATCCACAGTATCACTGATGTGTGACAATCCATTTGGAAGTTAATTGTTATACCTAACGAAAACATCAAGGAAATATATTAAATCACTTTTCAAAGATTCAAATCATGCAATAAAAAAGCAACTAAAGCTCTCAAAAATTCTTGTTTTTAAGATTTAACCAGCCAGCTTAAAAGAAAGTTGGGTGAGTGTAATAGAAAAAGAAGCTACAGTGAGAACTGTTTAAATTGTGTAATCAGGGCAGGTGCAAGGATTGTTACCGCCCTAGGCAAAAAATAAATAAATCTTGGTGCTTGATAAATGTAAGTAAACCCACCCTTTTTTTATTTTTTATAATTTTTATGGTGGGGGGGGACTTTAATTTATGGAAGGACAGAGACACTATAGTATTCGGAATACAGGTTTAGATTCCTAACACTAGAGTGTTCCTTTAAATGTATTGACTTTTTTTAAAATTAAAATGATCCTTTTTGCCTAAATGCAATAACTGATAGATGCATACATACGCACACACACACTCTCACATTCCTCATTCACACACAATGGTCCACACAATTACAATCAGTGACCAATGCACAAGCAAATTCACTGATTCACCCAGAGTGACACGCACACACTGACTCAAGCATACATAAACTAGTGTAGACGTACATACACACACATACACTGGCCCAAGTATACACACACACACACACACACACTCACTGACCCATGCAGACTGATACACACACAAACTGACCCAAGCAGACACACACATTTTACCAAAGCGGACACATACACTTTGCCTAATCAGACACACACACAGATCCAATCAGATGGACACACTGACCCAAGCATGCTTACACACACACCCAAGCAGACACACACACTGATCCAAGCAGACACACACACACACACATTCTGATCTAGACACACACACACTCTGACGCAAGCACATACACATACACACACATACACACATACTGACTCAAGCAGATACATACACTGATCCAAGCAGACACACACACATACACACACACACATACACACATACACACTGATCCAAGCATATGCACACACTGACCCAAGCACATACACACACAAACACACACACACTGATCCAAGCAGACACACACACACTGACCCAAGCACACCTACATACACACTGTCACAGTCTCCCATTTGGTCCCCTAGGGGAGTGTCCACCAGGTGGGAGACCTGCATAAATACTGGGCAGGTAGCCCTCATTAAAACAGACCACTGCTTGACCCTGAACACAGAGCCTTGTCTCGTCTTTGGGGGGGATTTACTGTATGCTGATAGAGACTGATTGTTAGGAGTGTAAGCCGCTTGGATGCTTTTCCTATTCGTCTGCTAGCAGCTATTTGTGAGGTTCCAGTTCGGGAGTTTGGAGTGCTATTTTGTATCCAGTTCGGGAGTTTAGAGCATTCCCTTATATGCGGTTCAGGAGTTTAGTGTTCTGCAGTAGCTGTGCCTGTATATCTGAAAGGGGAAGATCTTCCAAACGGCGGTTTAACTCTTTTATGCTGAGGGTGCCGTCACACACACACATACTGACTCAAGCAGATACACACACTGATCCAAACAGACACACACACTGACCCAAACACACACACACATGCTGATCCAAGCAGACACACACTGACCAGAGGTATATTTTGGATTTGTGCTGCCCTAGGCATGACTAAATTTGGGCAACCCTCAAATCTAAATTTGCCCCCCAATTCGTGTCAAGGCCACTTTTTTGATTGAGAGACACAGGCCTTCATTGATACATGCACTGACATACACTCACTGACCGATATACAGTCACTGGCGCACACACACTGTTTAACCAACACACACTTTCACTGACAGTCACACACTGACACACCCACTCACTGACATACACACCCTCACTGATTTGACGTACTCTGACAGACACACACACTTTCACTCACTCACAGACACACACTGACAGCTCGCGCACCGCTTAGTGAGGCCGGGGCCACATCATATTCTGGCTACCAGCATCACAGAAGGGCACATGGAATCTGTTGGCGCTATATAAATGGCAATAATAACAATAATAATAATAATAATGAGAGAGCACGAAGAGAGGAGGACAGCGCTTCCTTGCCGCCCTGCTAGAATATTTTCACCACCGGGCCTTAGAATGGCTGGACTTAACGTACCAAAGAGTAGTCAGGATACTTGCCGAGGTCAGC